GCCAGGTCTCACTCCGTTGCCCAGGCTGGTGGGCAGTGACTCCATCAAGGCTCGCTGCAGCCTCTGACTTTTGGGCTCAGGCGATCCTCCCAAGCAGCCTTCACTTCAGCCTCCCACGTAGTTAGGATGCAGGTATGAGTAACCACACCTGGCTACTTTTATTTATTTATTTTGTACAGATAGAGTCTTGAGGCCAGGGAGTGGCTCATGCCTGTAATCCTAGCACTTTGAGAGGCTGAGACAGGTGGAGCACTTGAGGCCAGGGTTTGAGACGAGTCTGGCCAAGATGGTAAAACCCCATCTCTACTAAAAATACAAAAACAGTAGCCAGGCATGGTGGCAGCACCTATAATCCCAGCTACTCAGGAGACTGAGGCAGGAGAATCGCTTGAACCCAGGAGGCAGAGGCTGCAGTGACCCGAGATCACGCCACTGCACTCCAGCCTAGGCAACGGGGCAAGACCCAGTCTCAAAAAAAAAAAAAAAAAGAGAGATAGGATCTCGTTCTGTTGCCCAGGCTGGTCTCAAATTCCTGGCCTCAAGGAACCCTCCCGCCTCAGCCTCCCTTCGTGCTGGGATGACAAGTATGAGCCAGGGCACCAGGCCAGGGTTGTGGTTTTGTTGTCTGTGCTGTTTGCCCATCAGCAGCGCTTGGTCCATCACTCTGCCCTGGCATTGGCCATCAGTGTGTGATCTGCCTGTTCACACGTCCCCCTCCCTCACTAGACAGCCCACGCTATGAGGGCAGGCGCTGGGCATGATGGCTCTTGAGCCCTGCTACATAGCTTGCTGTGCCATGTGCAAGGAAGGCACTTACTGATGAACAAATACATGAATGACAGTGATTGAAAGAATGAGGGAGTCCTACACGTCAGAGCTGGAAAACTGAGCTGAGGTGAGAAACTATTAGTCCATTGTCACCAGGTTCCCTGAACACTTCTCAACTGAAAAGAGCACCTTCCCAAAGGGACAGCCACTCCTGAGGATGCAAGAAGAAACACTCTTCCCTCCCCATTGCCAAACAGCGGGCTATACGTCTGTGTGTGTGTGTGTGTGTGTGTGTGTATTTTTTTTTTTTAATAAATAACTAAAGGCTGGAGGGTGGCTCATGCCTATAATCCCAGCACTTAGAGAGGCTGAGACAGGAAGATCGCTTGAACTCAGGAGTTTGAGACTAGTCTGGGCAACATGGCGAACCCTGTCTCTACAAAAAATACAAAAATTAGCCGGGCATAGTGGTGTGCCTATAGTCCTAGCTACTTGGGAGGCTGGGGCAGGAAAACTGCTTGAACTGGGGAGGTCGAGGCTGCATGAGCCGAGATCATGGCACTGTACTCCAGCCTGGATGACGGAACGAGACCCTGTCTCAAAATGAATAAATAAAAAAATAATTTAAATCCTTTGATTAACATCATCTCTGTTTAATATGCTTTTAAGAAATAAAAAATTCTGCCATATTTCACCAAGTGAACAGGCAGGCTGCTCATGCATCGCTGAATTTCCACTTGAGCGAGTCCTCAGCCCGACACGAACACAGGCAGGAACCGGCTGCTGGCCAGCACTTGGCTTTGCATGGTGGTGTCCCAGGTATGTCGTACATGAAGGAATCTGGGGACAACTTAGGAAGACAATTTTTTAAAAAAGAACCCCAGTGAGGCCTAAGCTACCAGGGAGGGACTTGGTAGCAGCCCCCAAGCGATGGCATGATAGAAACCGCATCTTCTTTGTGCATGCTTTTACAATGAATTGCTTCCTTTTCCTTTTCACTTCTGTGAAAAATAAAATGTAACAGAACAAAATCAACTCTCTTTTATTTCCAGACTAGACGTCACAGTGCACCAGTGGTTGTCACAGCAGTGACAAATGCCAGCCTTGGGCCGTGGAGTCGGGCAGGTCTGAGTTTGGAGCCTCATGTCATCACTTGTCTGTCAGTATCATGCCCTTAATCTCTGTATGTGCCAGCTTTTCAAACTAAACTGGGGATAACTGCCATAACTGTAAGCTTCTTGTTCTGGTGGGGATTAAATGAGATCATGTGAGTCAAGTGCCAAGTGTGGTGTGTGGCACAGGAGAGATGCTTAATGACCGTTAGGTGTTAATGTTATTGTTATTGCTCTAATATACTTCTGGCACTCATCCCTGATCTCATATTCGAACATGTTAGTGTTCATACTGTATGCTCACAGTGGCATATTAATTTTAGATTAGAAATTACCTATTTTCTGTAGTCAGCTCCTCCTACTCCATTTTTTCCCAGGAGCTGCTGTTCCAGGCAATAACCACGTTTTCAACTTTTTTTTTTCTCAAGATGGAGTCTCGTTCCGTCATCCAGGCTGGAGTGCAGTGTCATGATCTCGGCTTACTGCAATCTCTGCCTTCTGGGTTCAAGCAATTCTCCTTTCTCAGCCTCCAGAGTAGTTGGGACTATAGGCACGCGCCACCACACCCCGCTAATTTTTTTATATTTTTAAGTAGAGACGGGGTTTCACCTTGTTGGTCAGGCTCGTCTTGAACTCCTGACCTCAGGTGATCCGTCTGCTTCTGCCTTCCAAAGTGCTGGGATTTCAAGCATGAACCACCACACCCGGCCCATGTCTTCAACTTTTATATTTCCCATAGTGCTTGGTACAGTGCAGAGCAAACAGTGGGCCTTATAAAATGCTGCTGAGTTGAATAATGAAAAGACAACAGAGTACCGGGTACTGTGAGGATATAGTCTGTACTCCAGACATGCACGACCTGTGGTCAGCAACCTCCACTAATTGAGTTAGGATCACTGAAAGCAACTCTTACAAAAACTCTTACTAGCTTTTCTCAGAATCTTTATAAAAGGGTACCTGGAAGCCTCATCAAACTGGCATTTTAATGGTGTCTTACTTGGCTGACTCACCTATAAGACACTGTGATAAGCTCTTCAAGGGGAAAAACTTATTGCAAGTTTGGAAGCATAGCAGAATAAGCAAACATATTCTTTAAGGACCAAGGTAAGGTGTGTCCTGTTTTTAAAAACATAAGATCTTATTATAAGAATCACACTCAAGGCTGGGCACAGTGTCTCATGCCTGCAATCCCAGCACTTTGGGAGGCCAAGGCAGGTGGATCACCTGAGGTCAGAAGTTTGACACCAGCCTGCCCAACATGGTGAAACCCTGTCTCTACTAAAAATAAAAAAAATAGCTGAGTGTGGTGGCCAGCACCTATAATCCCAGCTACTTAAGAGACTGAGGCAGAAGAATCATTTGAACCCAGGAGGCGGAGGTTGCAGTGAGGCAAGATTACGCCACTGCACTCCAGCCTGGGTGACAGAGTGAGACCCTGTCTCAAAAAAAAAA